AAAACGAGACGTGAAAATCAGTAAAAATATGCAGTTGATTGTTGCCCACTAAACATTAATTAATTATTAGAGTAGTCGTGAATGGTGAGTTTATAGCGTTGTCCCTTACTCGTTGTCGTCGTTGGTTTACTACCACTGCTTACAACCATGACATCAGGAGTTCAAATCTAGTCGACACCAAAATAAATTTGGGTCCATTTATGTATCTTACCTACTCTTTAATGAAGAAAACATCAATATGATACCAAAAATTATTTTAAGAGACGATGGTAGGTTCGCCGGTTGAATGGAAGCGAAAAACATATTACGCCGACCACAAATAAATGGGATAAGGAAGAAGCAGATGATGATGATGATGATGATGATGGTAGGTTCGCGGGTTCCCATTTTCAACCCAGCTACTCAGAATACCAGCGCTGTGACAATAAGCTATCACAGCATATGCTGAATATGGATCGTGTTGCAAACTAGTAATTTAAAAATGTGACATTATTTAGTGATATTGTAATTTTATAAATATATGTTTTTAAATGACAATAAATTTCTTTCTTCTTCAAGCATAACCATATCACCAAAACATCAATAATTGAAAATGCTCTGACCACCCCTTCAGATGTTAACAATAGTGATATGTTTGTTTTATAATACTAGTATCTCCACGATACCGGACATTTATAATTACAAGACGAAGTTTCCTCAAAGTTTTTAAAAATCTGTTGTATTGTACTACTCAATTAAACGGAACATGTACATAACAGCTGAAGGCTACTAAACTAACTGCTAAAAATATGGGCAAAGAAAACAACGTCAAATAATCATAATGTACTTACAACAGCCACCATAAAACAACTTTATAATATCATTACGGTTCAGAATAATTACTGGGTTATCTCCATAAATTTACACGTCTCGCGTAATAAAATGATCGTTACGTTGACAGCGATTACCGCGCCGTGACCGTCACCAAGGATAACGTGACAAATTGTACATTCGTCCAATGTTTGCCCATAGTGTCTCGGTGTGATTAATGATCACTTAGGGCTAATTAGATAAGGGATGTTGGTACCGAGCGAGTTATCTCTAGTAATTTGTGATTCATCGGAGTAGTGTTGGCAGGTGTTACGCGCTTGCGATAGGATTTATCTCGGTTATTGGAATAGCTGTAGGCCATAATTCATTATATGTTATCTAGTAGTGAGAGTATGCACCTCGCCCGTACCTAGCTGGAAAGAAACATTGTTATGGAGTTTGTTATTAATCGAAATTAGTGGATTTGTTGCTAACAACATAATGATTGTGTTAAGTTAACACCCACGCGATCCTTTTGAAAATAATTGTAGTTTAATTGTAATATTTTTAGTCGAATATATATATATATATATAATAGTAGTCTAAGACTGTTACCTAAGCTTAAATGATAATAATGATACAGAACAATTCACACTATACCGTCTAGTGCCCCAATCATCCAATATAAGGTGATGTACTAAACGGCTAGACTACCCATGTCATCAAGGTATTAACTTTAAAATTTATTATCGAAGACCCACATGAACAGTACGAACATAATGTTATCATGTGACATCACTCTAAATATTCGTAGTATCACTCATGCGTTGCCATTCTAGATGACTAAGTGGAATGTCTCTGAACCTGTAATTGCACGGCCTAATCATACCCTACAACTGAAATACATTTTATAATGCTGCTTGGCGGCTGAAGTAAATGAGACTGAGGTATCAACACTGGCGATTCTTTACGGTCTACCTCTAGTAAATTGCTCTTTCCTTGAAATATTTTATGTTAGACGAGGCAGGTAACTTTGACGGTTAAAGAGGTCACTTCTTAATGGGTCACGTAAAAAACGAGTTTGCAAAACACTGACTGTGAGTGTCCACCTAAATAAACAAAATCGTCTAAAAAACAAACAAACGAGATAGAGGTGGTCATACCTCTATCTCGCTTGTTTTTGCCACTAATAAAAGTGTTTCGTTTAGAACGTACTGCCGTCATTTCATATTACAAGGATGATATTTGATGATGATATTTTATTCATCAAAAATGCGAATGATTGAAAATGTGTATAGTACAATATGTGCAAAACAGCTGCTTTCCAGATTTTCCTTTAGGTCATAATAATTATAATAGAAATAAACTAACCACCTTATTTCAGTTCTAATTACCAATAAAAAAAATAATCAGTAGGGCTGTAAAATTATTATTTATAACATTAGGTATGTCATAAATATTAATGATATAAATATAATGCTTAAAAAATTGTATCTTACTAATTAAGACCAAATATTTTTTAACGTGACTTTGTCCGCGTGGAATCTTGACCAAATAATGAAAAAATAATTAATAATCTAACCCTAAAGAACAAGGTTTCATCGTTTTATATTCAATAATTAAGAATTTCAATACAAACTTTCATCACCTATTTTTGTTCTTTCTCAGGATCTAGACTATTTGTGTACCAAATTTCATTTAAATCAGTTGAGTAGTTTTAGCGAGAAAGCGATACAGACAGACAGAGTTACTTCCGCATTTATAATATTAGTAAGGACAATGCTTTAAAAATTGTTTGTTACTAATTAAGAGCAAATATCTTCCTATACTGTAGTGACATGCACGCTGCCAGTGCTGAATACCAACTGTAAACTCCTATATATAAACAGTGGTGTTGAAAGATGGACAGACGTAACAAGACGGACGGACCGACACATACATCGCTGTTACATATGTTTCATTGTTTATTTATATATCTACTCTCAAAATACAACGAGAAACGTTACAATTATTATTACACTATGAATGAAATTAAATTAATTTTAGGATATGATTTCAAAAAAATCTACTATAGACTGACATGATTTTGTAGAAAGTGTATGCATTAGGAGGATATGTGAAATATTTAAATAAAGGTCTCGCTTTTTCACGGGTTCGATCCTCCACACGGTACAAACATGTGTATTCTTGAGTATGATTGTTTGTGTTTACAAAAAAAATCTAATTATTTATATCAGTTGTGTAGTACCACACAACATAAAACAACAATACTACAAACATTAAAATCCATTTATATACCTAAATTATTGAATACCAGAAGACCTTAGTTCTCAACATTAAACTGTAAATAGAAACACAGTTGTAGGTTTCTTGCTAAGGCTTTGATTATATACGCAGCAATTGTACAATAGTGCCGGCATTGGCAGTGACATGGTACTGGTACCTACGAGTCTAATAACCTCATACGTGCTATATCTATACATACTATAGTATAATAAAACTAAATAGTTTGTTTGAATGCACCTATCTCTGGAACTACCTGTCATATTTGATAAAACTTTTGCTATTTAGTCTAATTCTAGAAGTGGGTTGTACTTTATTAAGATCACGCTGTTTCTCACGGGAGCGCAGCAAACTCGGGAAAGTTAGAATGAAGTAATTGCATGGGCGAATGATGCGATAAGATGTGGTGGGTCAGTCTACAAGAGTAGTAGTCATGTTTTAAATTTAACAGCGGGTAAAATCGCACAGCATATTTAGTATATTTATATGAGCGTTTTTTATGCATATCAGTGACGAGAGCCATATGTTCAAACTACACTGCTGTGTATATTATATGCGATTGTGGTATATACCGATGATAAATAGTACATGTATAGTATGCAATATAATAAGTCATGTGAAATCACCAAATTGTATTAATTTTTATTTTATTTACTTATGTTTAATCATAGCATCGGCATATCAAGGCTGTAGTATGGAAGAATGAATATGAAACTCCACCAAACCCGATTTCATGACCGCAGAGCTTTAATAAAAGTGTTCGAATAATATTTTGCTGCTTGGAAAATTAAAAACTATCCTAGTTTTTAATTTTGTGAATAATCACTGTCACGGGGAGCTTGGGAAACAACTATACACGTCGTCTAAATATTTATACACGAATATCAAAGCTCTATAGTGCAAAGTAATTAAAAACAGTGCCTACTTTTAGTTACGTTACTTTTTTTTAATCTCGTTCTTCTTGTAACTTCTTCTTATTTTCAGTCAGTAGCTAACTAGATAACTAATTTGTTTTAAATTAGTTCAATCACTGATACTATATAATTTGTTTTATCGATATAGAATAATTTTATTGGTCAGCAATAATTTGGTCGACCAATTAATTGATATGAAAATAATTGCATCTGTAACTATTAATGATAAGTCATTAATCGTTACAAATGCAATCAGCCACCAGTCACACAGCAACGTAGCTAATGTTTACACACATTATCCACTGCACGAGTTATGTTTACGAATGATTCGAATAGCGTCGATTGTTTGCGATCGAATGCGTGGTTGCAGTGTAAATATCGATTTATCGATACATCACAATCGCCGGCGACGTGTCACAGGACACCAAATATGTTAATAGCGAATAAATAATTTTCAATTGTAATTAAATACTCTTTAGCTTAGAGTAATATTTCCAAATAAAAAACAAAATCTTTGCTAAGACGTCGACGAATTTCCATTACTTTACTAATTTTGAAATTTTCACCAATTGTAACATTATTTAGGAAACTTAAAACTTAAATACCAATACGTTAGATTTTATTCTTGTTGTTACATTTATCAAATGTTAGTGTTATGTTAAGACAATACAAAGAGATAATACTACGACATCCACAGCCATTTTAAACATTCCAAAATCGATATAGCGTACTCTACAATATCAATTTACAATATGTTCAATTTTGTGTAATAATAATATTTTACAATTTTAAACATATATATAGTTACTATTTTCCTTTTCGAATATTCGATGTATATTATATGATATTGGGGGATATAACTAGAGTAGAGATGTACAGATTTGTCTAAAGCTCAGTCAGTCTATATCACAGCCTAAATTATTGGATTTATGTGTACTTTCTTCGTTTTCCCAAAAGAAACCCTTATTTTTTATATGAATGCTAACTTTAACAAAAATCTCATTTCTTTTACAGATGCACCATCCAATCCAGATGAAACCAGCTGACAGTGAAAATAGAAATGGTAAGTCAATAAAAATATAAGTTATAAGAAACTTAGAACATATTATATTCTCTTCTGCTCGAAATTGAATATGATCGTCCCACATTTCTCTGAGCAAAATGGAATCTACTTACAAATCTAAGTTGTTTAACTTAGATTTATTAACGTTCTTTACAGTTATAGGAGAATTCACGAGTAATTTGAAATAATGTATTAATCATTCAAAATTTTAAATCCATATTTTATTTTTAGATAGTGGACGTTGATGTGAAAACCCATATATAGTTTTTATTGGTATATTACTCGTATATTATTTGGTAGAGTACTATTTATACAAGACACTCATGCTCTAAATATCGACTGTGACGTTTAAAATAAATGGGTATGTTTTAATTCCATACAACTATATTCAGAACGTGGCGAAATGAAATATTAACTGTACTGGTTTCTAATGGGAACCATGTGGAGCGGTACAAAGCAATGAGCCAATACTCTAACTCCCTTTTCCCACCGAAGGGGGACTCCATTCGGTGGGAAAAAGGGGTTTATACTTTTTGGACTGATGACCCAAGCAATATACCATGTCAGGTTGACCTCCGCGCGGTTCCCCCTAGAAACCATCGTGATAAATTACTAGTAAATTTGTGACGATAGGCTGACTGACTTGATCTCATGTTTATGCTATAGTTCTCCACTATTGCCCGCCAGCGTAAACCGTTAGAGTAGGCGGGAGCACCATTCCATTATCGTTCATTAAAAAAAATAGTTCCCCTCCCACAATACTTAGATTAGAAAACAAAAACAAAAAATCCCCTAACAAAACAGTATTATTATAAAAATGACGTGTTGTGTTTTATGCAAATAATATTTAAAGGTAAACAGCAAACTGACTCCAAATAACATGTGCAGAAAAGAAATAAAGGACTTTGATCTTTATCGATTGTTCAATTTGAGTTATATTTGTTCGAACGAATATAGTCAGTACACGATCGCACACCTCGAATATGGGTCTAATCTGTTTACTTTTCCGATATGCAGCCATATCGATAAGCTATGTAACTCAAGGACCGCAAACAAAGCCGCATGGCTGTATTTTGTCCTATAATTCATTTTTATTGACGGCTAAAGTCTACCTTGCAATTTAATATCAGAAAACATTACGTCTGCGATATAGAATGAGTGCCTTTGATATAAGTACCAATTATAGTATATATAACAGAACAAATTTCCCCAAAGAGTAAAATGAAAGATTGAATATTTGTCAAAATCTTCATACAAAATATGCAATAACCTGATCAAGCTATACTAAATTGAAAAGTTGATAATAAAATTCAGCTTTGTATCATGGTGAAAGTATTTCAGTCTTGTGAGTATTCTACCTAGATTTCAGCTTGATATTTCGCTTTACGACAAACTCTTATAAGGTTATCTATTTAAAAAGCTATTCCAATTTTATCTCCCATTTACTATGCTAGAGTAATATAGAATTACTCGAGAATTGCAAATGGGAGAAATAATGTATTGTTTAATAATATTGTTTAATTATTAAGGAAAAGTATATGAACATAAATAATATATAAGTATGAAAATATACGTTCTAGATAAATCTAGTTTTACAAATATTATCCCTATATATAATAAGAAGATAATGTAAGCGAAACATTAAGTATGATTGTTATACAATTAACAAAACTAATAAAGGATAATTTATGTAAAAACATATACCTAAAATCATTATTACATATTCTTACCAAGTAAAGACTTGATTGCCACTTGTATTGTAACTCAATTCTGGATTTTATTTCGCTGAAATCTAATAAATGTATTATAGACTTAATAAACGATAATTCGTTTAATTATCCATTTATTTATGCGTCTAGGCTATGAATTCTTAATTAATTCGTAGCCAACCACGGAGCACTCGAGGCGAACTCTCAATTAATTTATAGTTTATAGTTGCTTTAGTGTTTAAATTCATGTCGCAGTGCATAGGTGTTATTAATTCTTGAATTAAACTAACGAAAATTCAATAGCTGTATTTGGTCCATGGTACTATGACGTTGTGCTTACACTTGTAATATTTCTATCAACACTCGACACCCTTCAATTAGTATCTCTCCAGATAACATTGATTTAAATACAGTGTAAAATCAGTCCACTATACAATGCCGCGTCGAATGTACGTGTTACTAATAAGCTATAAGGAGATGATATCCATACAAAAGGAATTTGTCCAACATGTTTAGCCTAGATGGCTTACAATATACTTAAATGCTACAAAAAAAAATATTAAATTTGAATGTCTAACACTATTTAACATTGCCAAATAGACTTACTAATTTATAATAAATAGTACAATTATTTCATCGGTATACTCACTACTGCTATCGGTGTCGCTATTATTATTAAAATTTGTCGTATATTGTAATATAAGCATATTATAATATACGACGAATATAGTAGCGACATCTCATCACATCGTACCATATACATATATTATGCAGCGACACCTCATGACACTAAGGTATAGTGGTCAGATGATACCACCGCGCAACGTATTGCAACGCTAAAGGACTACTATGGACCTCACATGACATAATGTCCATGCTGCTGCTCAAATAAGCAAGGAACGCTTGCTACTTAAAAATTAGTACAATGTTATTTTGCTATATAATTATAAAAAAAAACCGCGCTTAAATTTAACAACATTTTTCCTTTATGAAATATGATGTAAGCAAATTAGCGAATAATAGGCACATATTAAATTAACCGGGTGTTTACTTAATAGACGATAATTAATGCTTAAAATAACACATTAACGAAACAAAGCGACCAAAATACATCTTTGTCATGCATGCGATACGGTTGGAAATTATGCAAAATATAAATAATACAATGTAGAATCTTGTATCGCACTATTAGATCGGGTTTACATGAAATCGGACCGACATTCTTGCCGGGTGTATGTTGATGTTTATTAAAATATTATATTGTACCAACATACTATCTACATTTTTTATACTACAACGGTGGCTAATGGCCCATCTCATAGTAAACTGTTCCACATTCATGAAAGAAGACTACTGATCGAAGGGGTTGGTGGATCGGCGCTACCAAGGCAGACTGCCAACATCAACGTCGTGACTGCGTTTTAGATTTATGGATATTTTTAATTAAGTATCAACTACATGAAGAGCTCCACGGATAAAACGTCATTGCCATTTCGGAGAATTTGTCATCATGTCTCCATACTCTGTAATTACACTGCCATATCTTACCCTTCCCTTCAACCAATACACAGCTAACAAATTTGCTTAGCGGCTGAAACTAGGTCAGACGGAAATGCCTACGTAGATGACGTTGTACAAAGTCTACTTCTGTAAAGTTTAGTTTCTGCTTATTACTACAGAATGTCCAACTCAATTTATACAATCCGAATGTGCTACCTGAAAATCAGACAACAATTCAGTGTAATTTGAACATGCATTTGGACAAGAAATAGTACTCTAACATGACTATAATGAACAATCATTATTGTACGTCAGACGTTCATTGATTTGCTGCACCTACTCGGCCTTGAGTTTACCTACAAGTTCAATGTTGCCATTATTTATGGATATGCTAAGCTGATGTTGTACGCTAACGGAGCAATAGTGATGGTTGACAGAATCTAAATAAAATTGTATATCACTTAATCCCTAAAAGTAGTACCGAATTAAAACAAATATCGATATATAGCTCTGTGGAGATCGATAAGGTTATTAACATTCATATATTTGCAATACGCCTCTATTGCATATAGAGGCTAACGGATGACGTCAAATCAATCACTTTCATACATATTAGAAACACCAAGATATCAGATGTTGCTGCACTATTTTCAACAGATTCATTAGCTAGCTGCTGGCTAACTGTATCGTCAAAATAAAGAGTTAAGTTGAATAACGATATTCTCTAATTTTAAGATTCTACGAAAATAAAAATGTTCGTTAGACTATTTTTTTTTTTTGTTTATATAATTATTACGCGAAATCTTCGCCAATTCAGAACTAATTATAGTTTTTTAAACGACATAAGCTCTTCTAATTCTTTCTCAGTTTTAAAATCAAAATTGAGTATTTCAGTTTCCTTGATATTGTCGGACGCTGTTAAAATCATTTGCTATGTTGTCACATCACTGTCAGATCGCATCTTCTATCCACATCACCGGTCCAAATGGAAAACGTCATCGGATGGCCGTGACGCCGCAGGACGGAACTCATTAGCCCAACAAAACGGTGGGGGCTAGGTGACACGAGTCCACGAAGAATGAGTGATCGCCTGCGCTCGCGCACCTCACTAGCGGCAACTAGTCAGTTGTGTGTCAGACGCGGTTCAATTCAGACGCGTGTGTGATGTGAATGTGTGAAGTGTTGTGAAGGATGCGTGGCGAGGCGGGCGGCGCACGCGGCAAGACGAGTGGGGGCAGAACGGGCACCAACTACCCGCCCATCAACGCCGCCTACTGGCTGCCGCCTTCGAATCCGACGCCCTACCATGTGCCAGGTTCGAGGATTTACATATATGCTCCTGTCATCATATGGTGCCACTGTGAAGTGGTCTCCGTTTGAACATGCCACTCGCAGACTCCAATGGAATGTCAATTGCAGTCGCTACTGCCATTGTCTTTTCCATATTGTTGACACTGTGTATTCATAACATACTACTGTAACTTTATACTCTTGAAATACTCTGAAATTTTCCTCATTATTATGTGCCGGTAACGTGTTTATCCTTGTTAATTGTTGATAATCGCGTCGAGGTGAATTGTAATATATTTAAATACGCCGATGCGCCGGAGTTTTCACGTTTCGTGTAATTTTCGTCGATTACGAGACATTGATCGATGTGCGTACAGAAAAACAATACTTTTCAGTGTAGTTGCCGTGATATATGTAGTCGCGTAAAGAGAAACGAACGTCTCGTAGTTTTAAACAGATTTAATGTTTGTTAATTATTTGTATCGAGTCGTTTGTGAACAC